TCTAAGAGTAGTGTCATGTAGCTGGTCTGGCAAATAAGGAGTATGAGAAAATGTTGTACTATCCTAAATTGACGCATGACACGATCGAGCTGGTACCATTCACATATCTGAGAAGAAATAAGTGGCATAATTGTTTTTACCCTTAGTGCATATGGCGGGGAAAGTATGCATTAAATCCATACTTTATGGTTGCCACACAATATGCAAGTCAAAAAACAATTAATTTAGTTATTCATAAATTGATAACATTGATCATTAACAATTAACAAAATACCTCATCACATTTCAAATGATCAAATTTGAATCTAAAGTATGCAAGATCCTTTATCTCTTTCTTATAATTTTGATTACCTAACCACCTATACAAACATAAATATCAGTACTAATGGTTGTAACATAATATTTTTGTATAACTATTTAATGAAAAAATAAATATCGTAGCTATACCGTGCATCATAAGGAAGATCATTCTGTGTGTAGAGGGATTACCCAAAACTAAAAATAGAAACTTATCCCATGTCCATATCATCACTAGTGGAGTCAATCCTCAAATACCAGATCGATCAATATTTGTAAACATGCATAACTCTCTGTATAGGAATGTTAATTCTATAGCTCCCTAGCTATATTATCCAGTGATCTCCAAATCCTCAGGTAATAGAAGGTACCTAATTGGAACCCTTCTACTGGAATGATCAGCTAACATAAATCCACCAATCAGTTTCAAAATATAAACTCTAGCAAACTGAGTTAGCTGAATGGCATTTTGGCTGTGCAAGCCAACATGGGAAAAATGTTTATCCAAACAAGTAAGTTTCAAGCTGCTACGCATAAATGCAGAACTAGGTGGTCTAATTTCCAACAAATCTTCAACGATCTGTGCCTTATCACCTCCTGCAAGAGAAATAACTAGCCTTCCATCAATATGAAGACTCATCTGAATAGCAATGCCTTCAAGAGTAATAGTACACTCTCCAAGAGGCATGTGAAAGGTATGAGTCTCTAGCCTCCATCTTTTCATCAAATTTGTAATCAACTGACAGCCAATAGGAATACTAGCCAATTGTGTAACTCTAGCAAATCCTGCTAGTGTTAAATGAGGAAGAATCTCTACTAGAACTTCTTACATGCCAACAGATATGAAATGACATCTCCTCACTCTCAAAATTGGGTGTTCACGCCTATCCCAAATATGTTCTGAAATATGAATAGACTGATAGCGCAATAATGAATCATCCTCAAGGCCGAGATTTAACACTCTACTACGAGACAAAGATGATGTCATCTAAAATCTGTTTAAACAAGTAAATCATAAACTTCATATTTTCAATATAAGTAATAAAAATTAACAAAAATAATTTTATTTTATTATTAAACAAATTCTACCTTAAATAGACTTTATAAATGATTGTATTAACAAAAATAACTCTTTTACTAAATTTATCTTCAATTAGTAAATCTACAACATATATTTCAACAACAGCTTACAAAAAAATTTATATATTAAAAATTTCATTATAAAAAAATTATTTATCTAAATTTTTACTAATGTAATCAACTATTATATTTTTTTTACACTTAAATTAATAGTTTTAACACATAAATTTATTATTCTTAATCTAAATCATATAAATAAATGCAAACTTGTTAAAAGATTCAAATGTCTAAATTACTAATTATCTAATTTATTTGAATTTTAGTATTTTATATTTTCAATTTAATTTATTGCTAATTTTATATATTCATGTTTTTTTTCACTTAATTCTTTATTCTTTTACTCTTTAATTTTTTAAAATAATTAATTTATAATTAAATTATTAGTGACTATATTTTTATCTTTCAGAATTTTAAATTAGTTAGTATTTTTGAATTATATGACAAAATATTTTTTATTATTTTTTTTACAAATTTAGCAATTGTAGATTTTTTTAAGAATGTAAATTTATTAATTAATATATTTTTTTTATTATTTCAATTTTATTTTGTTATAATTAGTCATTTATTTTAGTAATCTATTAACAATCACATGTAATTTTAATTCATATATTTATTTAATTTAATTATTTTATATTTCTCAATTAATATATATTTATATATGTTTAAATTTTAGTTATTTTAACATAATAATATTTACAATACTAAATAATATCAACATTATTTTTACTTTTAAATATAATTTTCTACCTAAAAAATAAAATATTATAAATTTTATAATATATTTTAATTATATATCTAATAATTCTGATTTAAAAATATAAATTTCTATTTTCCTATTATCCTATTTTTTGCTATTTTTATTTTTTAATTTTCCTATTTTCATAATTTTTTATTTTCCTATATTCATGTTTTCTTATTTTTCTATTTTTCACATGCAAAAAATTACAAAAAATAAAATATAACTTTAATTTTTACTAACTTTGCTGTTGGAGTGCTAGATCAAATAACGATCTTTCACTCTTACTTTAATGGCTCCTATAAAAAAAATTTCCTAAAATGGAAAAAAAAACATTATTTTTTTTAAAATAATTAATATTTATATTTAATATAAAATAACTTCTTTTTACTCTAGATCAAATAACGATCTTTCACTCTTACTTTAATGGCTCCTATAAAATTTTTTTTCCTAAAATGGAAAAAAAGCATTATTTTTTTAAAAATAATTAATATTTATATTTAGTATAAAATAATTTCTTTTTACCTTACAAATTTTTAAAACAACGAAATTACCCTGTGAAATAATATCTTCTTTCTACTATCCAAAAGATCTTTTTTTTTTCTAATTTTTTTGGCACCATTTGTTTTCTCGAGGAAGAAGATGAAGCAAAGAAGAAGAAGTAGGGGAGAGAGACAGGCAGGAAATGTTTTAGAAATTCTACCACGTGGACCAATTAAAATTTATCCCTCAACGAGTAGAATATTTATCCGTTAAACGAATACAAATATGAGTATAGAAAAATACTCACAAATTTTAATGGAGATGGGTGCAAGTATGAGTACTTAAATACTCACCCCACCCCATACCTACATGTGAGGGAGGTCTTAATCCAAAAAGAGAGAATTAGAGTTAATACTTTAAATATTTGGTTAGGTTCCCTCTATAATTGTTAATAATTATGTAATCATATGAGTTGCTTCATAACTTATCCTATCGAAAGTTGTGTTTTAATAATGTGACTTACGGAGAAAATCTAACCTATCACTTTTCATAAAATTCAGAGGTCAAGTACGAGAACTTTCATACAAAAGTAAGTCTTGAACAAGTAAACCTAAAATTTTATTATAATTATTATTGATATTTTTAATCATTTTTATTGTTCTAATTTCATATAATCTCGTTTGAATAATTTTTTACTTCTAATAGAGTAACTAAGAATTCAAGACAACAAGAACCTAATTCACTTTTAGGTTTTAGAAATTTTTTGTATTTTGTAAAATTTTGATCAAGATAAAGATTTCACTATTTATTTTATGTAATTTCATGTTATAGGCCATAATTATTATATTTTGAATGGACAAATTTTTTATTTTGAATCTTTGAGTTATATTATCTTTCAATTTATAATTCTCTGATTTTTAAATTTCTTTTATGCAAAATAAAATATTAAAAAATTTAATATAAATAGTTATGTTACTCAAATAAAAGAATGTATATTTAAAAATATAAACATCTATCTAATTAAATTTATTTATATATATTTACCAATAAAGTAAACTATAAAAATAATTTTTTTATATTTTAATAAAAAAATTTATTCACTATTTTATATCGTTAGGCTAATACAATTTATGAGATTGACTTTTGAAAAAACATTTACATATGAAACATACAAAATATTTAAAAATTTAATGAAAATTATGTGATATTATATTGACTTATGTTAAATAAAATTTTTGATTTATTTGTTTCTTTGATATAATTAATAACAAATAAAAAATATATGAGGAGTAACTTCTTTAAATAAAAAATTAATGTATTAAAATATATTTAGCACTTATAATTTTTAAATAATTATTTTTTATTTAATGTTTAAATTTTGTTAGTAGTTATGTATAAACTTTTATATTATTATATGTAAAATTAGATAAATATTTTTTTTAGATAAACACAAAATATGAGGGTATGAATACCTAAAAAGTACATATATTTTTTTAAAACACAAATACAAATATGAATTATGTAGTACTCTATCCACAATCTATCTATTATCATCTCTCGTGTCAAAATAATTATACAAACTCTGCTAGTTTGGAACCCAAAAATAAAAACTCTGCCTTGTGACCCTAAAAATAAACGTCTGAAAGGGAGGACCTGTGCTTCCATTAGGAAATGCTTGATTAGTTCGGCTTTTTAGGACGCCTCTACTTTACCCAAAATGAAAAAATAAAAGTCAAAGGAAATTTTCCAGGGGCATTACCACATGATAATTCCCCGCGGAGGGTTAAAATCGGAGCTCATCATGATACTACATCCTCTAGTTATTACGACCCCAGTGAGAGTCAACTTTATCCTTTTACCCTTTTCAAGTAACCCCACTCCTCAGCCGCAAAATTTAATACGAATATTTTCAATTTAGCTAGATAATAGATTTATTTAACCAAACGGCTCTAGGACAAATTACATGGTCAAATATCACTCTAATCAGCTTCCAGAGAGCAACTTGCAAGGCAAGAAGCACATTGCAATGAGAGCAAAAGAAACAACTACTGCAGGCAAAATCTATTAGCTAACACAAAAAAGACTCGTTCTGAAGTTTGAATCAACGAAATTTCATTAAGGGATAACAGTAACGTATCATTGGCGTGTACAAGTGTACAACACAATATACATGCGCTCAAACTAAAGAACACTAAAATTTCATACCAATATACAAACTAAACAGAACATGATAGAACAACTCTTGATGGATATCGACAACAGAGTGAACTAACTAATTACAATTCAGCAGGGAAAGAAGTACAGCTTGCGTCTTCATCATCGATGAGGATATATCATGACATTTTCAGAGACCATGGTGGTCTTCGATCTCCACCATCGGCTTGACCTGAGGTATAGGAGACACACCACTGACACCACAACTTCCACGTCCATCAAGAACAGAACAGGTCCCTTCCGTCGTCTGTTCTGCAGGATCTGGAATATTAACCGCTCCTTCCGATGCTCCTTCACCCCCTAAGATACTGTCATAAGCCGCAGCCACAGGATTAATATGCGGGAAAGGCAAGTACAGACTGTGCACCACTATCTTCACGTTCCGGATGACGTCAGCCACCTTAATTCTCACATAGTTAATCCTCATAGGCGCCGCGGTTGCTCCTCCGCCGGTGGTTGTAATAAGCAACGGTTGGCCTCGCTCCAATGTCGGCAGAGCAGTCCCTACCGGAAGCTTCTCCAGATCCGCTAACGACAAATAATGGTTCGGCACGATATGGAACTTGATGTTGCTGATATACGACTGGGAACCGGAGAAGATAGAGAGGTCATCGACGGCGAACACGGTCATGTTGTGGAGAGTCACGAGCTCTGCGTACTTTACTTTCATGGCTAGGGCGAGGATGCTGAAGCCGTTGTTGCGGAGCCTGAGCATAGCGTCTCTGAGCATGAGGCGCATGATAGCTGGCTGCGCCGTGGCCCCGGGAGCGTGGAAATGGTGACCGGAACGGTGATCTGGATGGAACGGGAAGGAGAGCGAGGTCATCCTCTCCACGTCGCAAGAGAACGGAGATAGCGGAGAGACGAAGCCTTGGAGGCCGTGAACAACGACCATGCCGTTGTTGAAGATATCAGGTTGCGTGATCTCCACGCCTCCGACGAAGACCTTCGCGGCGGTGTAGTTGTTCGTGTTCCGATGGACCGTATCGGAGGTGACGGTGATGCAACGGCCTGGACTCAAGGTCTCGATCTTGGTGCCGAAAGCGAGTTTCCGAAGGTAATCGATGGTGAAGAGACCCGGAACGATGTGTTCGCGGAGAAGGTTAGTGACGGAGCAAGAGAAGCAGGTGCGGAGGGAGGCGTCGGAGGGAGCGAAGATGGTGGAAGGACCGCTCCAGGTGGAAGAAGCGGCGGAGGCAGTGTCGGAGAGCGACGGAGCAGCCGTTGCCAGCTCGTGGAAACCGAGATGAGACAAAATCGGAGGGAGGAGCGCGGTGTGAGAGAAGAACGAGTGTTCTTGGAGATCGTGTGGAGTTGTTGGCGGTGGTGTTGCGGGCGTTGGTGGCGTGAAGGTAGCTTCGAGTCCTTCATTGGCGGTAACCTTGTGGCCGCAGAGTATGGCGGCGAAGGAGATGACCAAGAACAGTGCGAATCGCTGGGAGGAGTTGTCCATGGCGGGGAGAGAAGCGATGATTTTCAGAGTGAATGCAACGGAAAATGAAGCAAGTGAGGAAGTGCAGAGGTATTTATATGTGCGCGCGCCGGGGAGGGAACGAAACGGTTTTGTGAAGAAGGTCGTTAGGGGAATCTTGGCGAAGCGTGCTTGTTAGTTACGTGGTTGTTATATGTTTTAACGATTTTGAATTTATTTTATTTAGATTCAGTTGTACAGTTAAACGCGGGAAGGAAGGGATTCGTTGGTAATTTTATAAAATGAGCTAGAGGCCCTGGTACGCCCAAAACAAAACCATTCAGTTTGCTACCACCTCTTGCTTGTTTCCTGAGAAAATAAGATTCCAGGAAATGTTGAGATAATGATCTGACCAACTCCATGGCAGTGTGTGCACTTAAGTTGGATTCCGCTTAACTCTCACTGCCATGCTTGTTTCCACAAATTTTAATGAGCTACAGCACCTGCATTCATAGTAATTTGGTGTGCTTTGTTAGGATGTGATTTGGTATCGCTTTGAAGAAAACACGTACTCGTCTGTGTAAGAAAATTTGAATTTCCTTATCAATTTCACAATCGAAACAAAGATTTTGTAAGCGATAGAGATTGAAATGCGTTAATTTAATCGCTTTATAATTTAAATTCTCTAAAATTTTAAAATAATAGAATTTATTCTTCTAAAAGTAAGAAACAGGGCGAGATTTAATTTTGAAGAAAAAATCTTTAGGAGGAAAGATATTTTAATTATTTGTTTACAAAAATAAATGAATAATAAATAATGATGGAGATAAAAGGAACGGTTAATTGTTGGGTGTTGGTGGACCCGGGGCAGGGTTTGATATCCTCAGTGAGCCATACAAAAGACTAAACTAAAATAGAGATATAGATAAGTGTAATTGGGAAAAGAGAATGAGAATGGCACTCTCACTCTCCTCCGCTCTACGCGTTCCCTACGCTTCTCCTTGTTTTTGGAAATCAAACGGCAAGAGTTGCAAAGCGGCAACTAAGGTATCATGTGCCCCTCATAATCATAATAACAATAAGAATCCATTGGTTGGAATCGGTATTGGTGTCGTTACGGCCTGGGTGATGGGTTTTACGGCGTTGAATGCTGACGCCACGAGAATCGAATACTACGCCACTGTAGGAGAGCCTTTGTGTGAGCTCAACTACGTTAAATCTGGCCTCGGTTACTGCGATATTGTTGAGGGCACCGGTGACGAAGCTCCACTCGGTGAGCTTATCAATGTCAGTTACTCACTCACTTAACAAACATAGTTAATCAGTTATCCCTTGTTGTCTTGTTTTTGAATGAACGATATACGCTACAGGTTCACTATACTGCAAGATTCGGTGATGAGAGAGTGTTTGATAGCAGTTATAAACGTGGTAGACCTCTCACCATGCGCATTGGTGTTGGCAAGGTTTAATGCAACTTTATCTTTTTCATTTCTGTTAAATAAATTATCTTGTAACATTGTTTTGCACTAATAAGAGTGTATCTAGAGCAGGTAATCAGGGGACTGGATCAGGGAATTTTAGGGGGTGAAGGAGTACCTCCAATGCGGATAGGTATCAAATTTAATTGGAGCAATTTAAGATTCTTACATCATGACACGTGTCACTTGCTAATATACCCGCTTTTACCCAGGTGGCAAACGCAAGCTCAGGATTCCTCCCCAGTTGGCATATGGCCCTGAACCTGCGGGGTGCTTCTCAGGTTATGTTTCGTTTTATTGATTATTATCAGAAGAGGCAGCTAGTTGTTTAATTTGTTGGATTTTGACATGTTTGTCACTGATTCAACAGGTGACTGCAATATACCCGGCAATGCTACTCTTCTGTATGATATTAATTTTGTTGGTATTTACTCGGGCAACAGAAAAAACTGATCAAATACATATATATGCATATGGACCACACATGGATCGGGGGAGTTTCCAGATTCCCTTAGAATATTTATATTCTTAAAATAGATAACCAAGCATTCAGATTGTTGTGTCCAGCTTACTCTCTCTATGGGTGGCACCTAAATTTGTTGGCTTTCTTTCCTTATTGATAAAATAGTAAGCATCTGCTTCCAACCTTGGTCATGTAATCAGGACGATTTTATGCACTTGTAGGTGTATGTAGCACTGCACCATAGAATACTGATCACCTGCTTTATTGGTTTAACCAGTTGGAATTGATTATATCTAACAACAAACATTAAAATTTTATGACACAAGCGACCGTAGTTAAAACATAATACTCTTGTGTGAAAACACTTGTGAAATTTACCACATGTTGTCTAATGACTGAGTGATGTAACCGATATTTAAGATTATATTATGTTTATTGTCAGTTAGAAGTAGAGCAGCGTATTTGTAAACTTAATATATCTTCCTTACTTCATATAGTATAAAGGGGAAAAAGGTAAAACTATAAATGATAATGGTGACAATTACTGGTATGCTTTCTTTCATCTCTGGTCTGGATTATCTAAAATAGATATAATTCTAATTTCAAGTAGTTTAGAGCAATGAAATGGACTTTTAGCAAGAGAATGTGGATCAACTTTTTTGGCACTTGGCAGAATCTTCTTCCTGATTCCAGCTACCTCAAGTTACTGTTCCTGGTTAGGGAAGTTGAACATCATCGACCTGGATACCTCTTTTGAGATTGAGAGTAATGAGAAACCTTTCCAAGCGATATAGATTAGACAATTCATGTGTATCTCTACATACACGACATGCCATGCACCTTTTGTATCTTTAGTGTATATGTAATTTTCATTACTGCTCTCTGAATGATAAATTTATCAATTCTTTATATGGTATATGTCATCCCTATTACATCATATGCTATACCGTTTGGATCTTCCTGAAACTAAAATGCAAAGGGAGAATGATAATTTCGGATGATTAACATTTTGTAGTTAAATATGTTCAAAAATGATTTCTATGTTGACTTGATTCGATTATTTTAATTCATAAAAAAGTAGAAATATGTTCCTAAAGTTATCCTAATTTTAATTCTCTCAAATGTAAATTGTGCTTGTCACACCCGTATCCGTATTTTACACACTTGAAGATCTTCTTGTAACATGATGATGATGGGGGTGGTGATGACTAATAAAGCGAGTCACCATCTGCGTAATTCTGTCGAATCCTCTATACTGACCCGGGGTTGCATGTGCCTTTACACTTTGTGAGGATCTGGTAAAGGGAGAGGGAAACAGAAAAAGACAAAGCAGAAAAAGTAAAGTTGATTCCTGCCTCACGTTGAATGAGAGAAAAGGATATGCCTTCCTTGAACAGTATTGTTCCTGTTAGCTCCAACTTCTTTTGGTAACCAAGTGTATTTGGAATTGAGTTTAAATTATGTATGTATTTGCAACACCAGTCCCAATGCAGAAGCTAAAAGTTTCTTTTTGGGTAAAAAGAGGGGCCAAATGCAATGCCACTGTTAATATGTAGAGGATAATATAGTATTGGAAAATGATCGATGCTTGTATATTTGCCCGCAATGCGAGTGTTTCAACAGTTATTTGCAGCTTCTTTGCTAGGATTGTGGTATTCATACGTCAGAGCTTGTATAAAATGAGAAAATGAACTCTATCTACAGTTAAATTTGGATTAATTATATTTATAAAAATACTTTAATATAAATCAATAGGAAATTGATTCATATTTTATTATTTTTTCACTTTTGAGAAACTAAACTTCTGAATTATAGTTCTCTTTCACTGTTTTCTTTTTCCTTCTTTTTATCATTATCATATTACTTATTTTCTCTTTTCTTCTCTTATCTCTTATTATGCATATACATCTAATGAGTACATGAATACGATTTTTCTCCTTCAATTATATTATTCATAAAACATTTTTTTATCTCTTTGTTACATCATTCATTTTATCACATGCATTTCTATTGCTCTTTTTTATTTTCTCCCCTTTGTGTTGCAAACCCATTTGTTGTCCAAATGCGGTTTCTCATTCACATGATTGTTTTACACTCAATCCCGTTTCTTTTACGGGAGAATATGGCTATAACAACAAAATTGACCTCCTGCAGCAAGCAATTACTGGTTACAATTCTGAAACACTGAAGCGAAAATACGGCAAGGTCTCTTGTCATCCTTTTTATGCAAAGAAAAGTCAACGCTCCCGGAAATTGACCAGAAAAATGAAAAGAAGGAAAAAAAAAACACTGCATTAAAAATTGAAAATTTACAGTGGTCTGCCAAGAAAAACATGTTTGTGACTACATGATAGAGCAGGCATTTGGGTTGTCATCACTGAACATGGTGATGTAAGGGTCTTCATATCTTGTGACGGTTGCATTGTTAGCAGAAACCTCCACTCTTCTCACATAACCAGGAGGAGCCTTCTTGTCATAAGCTGGAGCAGCATAAGGATGAGCCACCAAGTTGTAAGGCACGTATGGCCATATCTCAGCTTTCTTCCCTGTTGACTTAGCCTTCTTCAGCACCTTGTTTGGATCAACATACCCAGTTACTGTCACTTTCTGCTGTTTACGGTTTATCTCCACTGATTTCACTCCTGCAATCACATCACCACCATTTCATCAGCTTCATGTTGAGTACTAGTAGTAGTATAAATAGATAATAAATGATGACAAATGAAGTATAACTCACCACTTAGTGAAGAAAGGGCTTTCTTGACCTTAAGCTCACAGCCATCACAGTCCATCCTCACCTTTAGCTCTACAGTCTGTAACTGCTGCTTCTTCTTCTTGTGGTGGTAGCCACTTCCCATTAGATCAGACAAGTACTCCAGTGTGCCTCCAACACCCATTTCTGTATATTCACAAAACAAGTGAAGATGGCTTTGTAACCAATGAATATGTATGATAATAAAATATTGATAGCTGAAGTTGTTGAGTGTGCCACAAGAAGAGAGAAGTTGAGTGGAGTAAAAGGGGTGTTTGATGAGAGTGAAGAAGGGGTGCATGTATTATATATATAGAAGATGTGATGATCATTATTTGAATGTATAACTATAAAGAGGGATTAATATTAATATTGAAAAACAGAGGGAAGCCAGCTCTGAAAGAAAAAAGAAGTTGCAAGGAACTTTCTTTCTGAAAAAAAAGGATTCTTGTACCCAAAAAATAAAAATGGATTCCTTCCTTCTTACCTTGTAATAATGAAAAAATAATGCTGCTCTCTGCTCTATGAAGAACTTCTATACTACGTTTGAGATCTTTTACACAGCCATACAGCCTATACTTATAGAGACGTTTAATCAGATTCAAACAGAGGAAAGCCCATGGCCCCCACCAACACCGGTAAACAAAAGCACTGTTGGAGCCCCCAGATTTTGTATTCACTATTTTGTTATTTGAACATAAAAAATATTAACAAATTATGTAATAATATGTATAATATTTTTAAAATTAGAAAAAAATCAAAAGATGTTCTATATTAAATGTGTAAGAAATGTTTAAGTACGTGTAAACTTAAGTTTAATTCTATTACATGTCTATGTGAGCCTTTTATTACATGCAAAAGCTTGGGATTCTATAATTTTAACAACATCAACATACATATAAATTATATCATCATCTTGATATTTGTTTTATATATGTATATATAACAGACATATCAAACAAAGTTAAAAAGAGTTTATTCTAACTCTTTAACTTCTCACACCTACTTAATGAAAGAGGGTGCGATAAATGAAAAAGGAGTTAATTTTAGTGATTTAATATAAGTTTGAAGGAATTTATAGAAAAGTTAAATAAAAAAATTCTTCAAAACTTAAAAAATAAAAATAAAAAGTATAAATTATTTTTAACGTATAAAAAAACAATTTTTTATACTAATTTATTTTAAAAGACTTTTCTAGAAGTTCATTCAATACAGACCTTAGTCCTGAATAAATTCTTAATATCATTTAACAAAATAATTTTAACCATCAATTTGAGTTATATAATTAATATTTGTTTAAAATTTATGAAAAATGTATTAAAATTTCTTTTTCATTTCAGCTTTTTTAAACCTTGTTTAGTCATCCTTGCATTTTTACGCACAACATTTTGTATTCGATGCATGAAGTTTAACGTGAATAATGTCGTAAAATATTCACAAATAGAGCTTCAAATCAAACATGAAACTTTCGGTTAATCAAGTATGAACATTTTCATTAAATTAATGTTAATGAAATCGAGATTTAGGATAAATATCGTGTTTCATTATAGAGCCTTTTTCAGACAATGGAGCATTAAAAAAGAAAAAAAAGGTTGGCATACATCAAACGATAGCTTATGTTAATTGTGTCACTAAGTGTTCGAATTCAAATCGAAGAGCAAAAATGAATTAATGAAAATGAAAACAATTATCGATCCCAAGCATAAATGAACACAGAATGTGTATGAGAGGTTAAAAATTTCAAATCAAGCCATTGGGGTTGAAATGCTTCGGTTGCACAAAGAACATATTGCTATATAAAAGTAAACGGGGGGCATCCATGGCCGCGCCCTTTCTATAGGCCTTGAAAATTTGGATTTAATTTTTTTCAAATGATTATTGTATTTTAAAAGATATAGTGCAATAATTGACTAAAAATCAATTATTAAAATTTTAATAATTTTATAGATTTTTGTTATATGTGCACATATATTGTATCAAATTCAAATCCTTGGAAAACAATTGAACTACAAAGCTTTTTTTCATTTTGATAATTTTCTTTGACCGACATTTATCCCCACCACAACATTTCACTCGAAATCAAAACCCAATATAAATGGAAAGAATATAGCTGGCATAGCGCTGTTCCAGTTACGATTTAAGTTCCAAAAGAAGCTTATAATTAGCAGTTAATTGCCTCAACTCAACACACCATATAAATGGTTTTAAGAAAAAAAAGTAAAAAGCTGATATACAGTTCCTTATAGAAGAAGAGGTTTCAAATTTTTGTTGTTACAAATTTGTTTGTGTGACAAATTGGTCAAATGACAGAAGCCACGAACGCGTTTGGTTGGGAACATTCACACAGCTGTTGCCAGGAGTTGGTGCATTATCATGAATTCCAAAACCAGTATTTTAATCCAATTATCTGAGGTTTTATCCCTTTCTTAGCCGAAGATTAGAGTTTATTGGTTTCTGAATTTTAATTTTTTTTTAAAGATTTGTATAAGAAATATTAAAAATAACTTTTATTGTTTTCACTATTTATTGTATGAATCTTAAAAAAATAAAAAATTATGATAAAATAAAAATGATAATTTTATTTTCAGAATATTAAAAGTAAAAAATAAATAATAAAAAATATTTTCAGAACATGTTTTTAAATGTAGAAGAAGAGGAGAGGTCGTGGTTTGACATAAGGACAAAATATACATGCATTTTTTTAAGGTTTTTTTTGTTTTTAATTTAAAGTTTTATTTTAATAATCTAATAATAATATTTAATATTATTGTAAATTATCAAAATAAAAATTTAATATCAATTAAAAATAATAGTAAAATAATTAAGAAACTATATCTAAAATTTATCTTAATAAAAGTGCTTGCCTTTCGTATTGATAATCATCGTTATTAAAATGGAATAATTTCTACTGACTAATAACATTAGATGACTGATTATTGTTTTCATGGGAATGTACTCATTTAATGTTTTTTGATACTTTAAAAAAGATTAATTTCTATTTGTAGGTTTGTCCAAAAAAGCAGAAACTAAGAGTTAAACAAACTTAAGGACCAAGGGGGACAATTAATAACTATTAATTTGTTTATCTGTCAAACTTACCCTTTTTTAAATTTCTTTTATGTTTATTTTTTGTTTAGCAACTTTACTAGTTTTAGGTTTAAATATATTTTAATTTTTATTTGTTATGAGGTTTTGATTTAATTTTTTTCATCTTTGTATTTGTGTGATTTAAATTTTAGTTTATCTTATTAATATGATCATACAAACAAGTAATATGTTACAAATGTTTAGTTAATTACGTCAATGTCTAGTGCTCATTAGAAAATTAAAGTGTTGATTTAAAAAAAAGAACTAGAGACTAGAATATAAAATTCATAAAAAAGTATTGACGAAAAAAATTAAATTATTTGCTTTGATATACAACTTTACACTGTGGTTGTGCTTTTATTTATTTATTGATGTCGCTGAACACATAGCAGGTTCTGCTACCTGTCTCTTAAAACTTTCGAATTGTTAACTTAGAGGGAAAACAAATGGATATAATAAAAGTGGGCATGTCGTTTTGTGTGTTGTTTTTGTCGTACAGCTATTACGGCCTCTAGATTTGAATGCATGTGATTTAACAAAGCCCCACCCTTTTCACCAACCCCATGATTATGCATGCCTTTCACTTAATCATGCACTTGCATGCATATTACTATAGTGATAGACTCTTTTATTTGATCCATCTATCTACCCAAAACAACCATTTCTTCAAAAGTGTAGATGCACTATATATTGAAATTGTTGCCTCCACCTAAAATATGATCAATTTAGATGGTGGATGCGTATGGACAAATCCATCATTGTCACCTTCTTTGGAGTTTAGGGTTAATACCAATGAAATGCTATCTGATTAACGGTTTGGGTTATTTCTAGTTTTGTTTTTAAAAAAAGTTGGGGCATTAAATGTAGGTAATAAAGGATCATGCGTCATCCACATTGTTCTTTCTCCTAATTAAATGGCTACAAGAAGGGGCATAGTTTGAGAGGAATAATACGGTATGATTAGATGGAAGATCAAATAGAAAGGAAGGAAATAACTTAAAAACTACACTATGTATTATGTATATAGATAAAAATAAAAAAAAATATTTCTACTTATTTGGATAAAAAAAATTAATTTAATTTAAAAAGTATATGGTAGTAAAAGAATCGTTTAATATTCTATAAGAGATAATAAAAGTCACGGTGTTTTCTAATTATGTACACAAGCACATCTGGAAATAACTAAACTTTGGATTTCTTTCTTTTTCTTTTTAAGTAACACATGAAATTAATTTTTAAAATCACAAGCAACTTGTAATTTATTTCTTAAACTTATAAAAATTAATACAAATTGTCTTTAAATTTATTAAATCATATAATAAAATTATAATAATAACGTAGGGAGCGGGGTAGGGGCAAACAGTGGTTTCAGTGCTAGAGCTTTGAATTACCCCTCCTTAGAGCTTTGATTCGTCAATCATACTTTTTAAACAAAAGCTAACATCACAACAGCTTCCTTTCTGATTGAAAAGAGGAACTTTAACGTGAATTTGTTTATAAAATAAAAAAGTAAGATATTATTTATCTTTAAATCTTAATGACTTAGTATCATTCTATTAATACATATTTTAAATTAAAATAATGACAAATATTTATTTAAAAGAAAAAACTTTAAAAGAAGTTGATCGTTCTGATATATATTTTCTAACGGACCCAAATGAAGCAATTTAAATAATTTAACCAACCTGCATGAGTCTTTTCATTTAACAGCAACACTGCACAGAAAGCTCTCACTTTTTGGAAAAGGTAAGAAAAAAATAAAAACTAAAATAATGTACTAACAATATATAGTAGGTGAGAACTGAAAGAGAAACCATGCATCATCATTCGAAAATATCAATGTAAGCTTTTGGTGCCGGAAATGTAAAGCAATAACCAATAGAGATGGATTGTTAGAACGATGACATACGCTAAAGCATTTCATCAATTATATATGTTTGATTTGAAATCACAAACACGGATGTCAACATTGATGTCCCTCATGGGTAGCTTTTAGGTGGGAACATGAAAATTAACTCAAGGACTACAATTATAAGAAACTGAACTTTTATTTATTATTCAGAAGAGTGATCACATGGAAATACACTTTTGTTTTGTAAATATATGACCAATTGGATATGTTCTTATAGGGCACTCTATTAATTATTTTCTTCTTGAACACCCAAACCATTTTATCAGAATGACATATTTTCTTTAAGATAGAAAGGAAAAAAGGGTCTAATTATAACATAGATTAGCATAGTAAAAATACCAAGACATTGCTTTGTTAACAAGTTATTTGAATGTTTAAAATTTGATGTTGTAAG